ACTGACTGCTCAAGTTTGCTGGACCTGAGCTTGATGCGGTAGTCACCATGAAGGGTACTGTTATCTGGGATGTGACAAGTTTCCCAAGCAACCAGCATGAAGCAAGCAGCAGCATCAAGCAGCTCTGCTTACTGCAGGTTGCATGGTTTGGCCTTCGACCATGAAGATGGAGGCATAAGTTTGTCCCTAACTTTGGACAACTTTTGTTAGACTACATGCCATCAAATCCCAGAAGAGAAGAGATGTATGAGAACCTCAAATTCAAATGTACACTCTTCCAGTTGTTTACCATTCAGTGCATTATTTTTGTCTAAATACACATATTGTGGCAAGTAGATTTGTTGCTAGACAGTGACCATGAAACAAACAACTACACAAACAGCAACCGATACGTAACGGATCCACAAAATGTGTGTTTCCACAGCAACAAGAGAACATATAAATAATGGAAGACATATTCACCATGCAGTCTGTGTCGAGATGTTATAACCAGGACAAGTTAGCAGTTGCAGTCGGTCAGACAATCACTGCAGTTCATTCATTGTAAGCTGTTGGTGTTAGAAGCTGGTAGCTGATGGCGGGGACAGTTCAGGAACACAGATGAAGGGAAACGTCTGCCATTGGAAGCCGCTATCAAGCAACGGCAGTGAAAAAGTGACTGTGAACACTTGTGTGTGTGTGTGTGTGTAACAGTGACTTGTAAAGTATAGTCACATGATGTATCAAAGAGTCCACTAAATCCAATTACCAATCAAAACCTTGGTCTATGGTCACTCAACCACATGACAGTATATTCTTATTATCTTTCTTAATGTTGAAAACGTTATTATGCGAGGGTGCATACAGATAAAGCTGTGACAATGAGCTAACACTTGTGCAACCTCTCGCGTAAGCGCTGATGACTTAAGACCCATGGCATATATTACATTAACAGTTATGTGTAAATGAGAGTATAAAGATTGATTTAAATATGATGTTTATTGTAATCCCAAAATAAAATTATACATTGGTCAAACAATTACCCAAAACATGTATTAATAACATGGTGATGTTCATTAATAGCCCTTTTTTGTTTGCTTAATTAATCGTATATTCCATTTGACCATAATGATGTCTATGTTTTAGGATGTGTTGCTAATGCCAATACTTCACTATCGTTTTTTTATACCTCTTACACATTCTCTGTACCTATTGTTTAGTCACTGTCTTTCTAACAGAAAATAACAAGAAATCTGTCATGATAACCAGTCACCTGACAGCAGGTACAGAAGCAAATCTAACAGTGTCAGGTATAATAAATTTACTTCAAAGGGCAACAGGCAACACTATGTTATTACATGAATACATAATACATCTAAAATACGAAAAAAAAAAAAATTAAACATTTATATATATCCTGGGACTCCTATGATGTAGCATCACAGAACTGCTTAGTGGATTGGATAGACAAGGAATATGCACAAGATTCTTCTATCTATGAAATTTATCTCAGATATTCTTCAGTTTACACAGTATTTAATTTCATCTATATTAGATCTGCTTAAAAGAAACTGGGAGCGGTTCATCTCAAGCAACATTCAACAAACTACAGTTGCCTAGGAAATCCTTGAAAATCTAGTTAACAGCACAGTAGAATTGTTTCATGAAAACAGACAGAGATGGAAATCATACAGACAACCAGTACTTCTGCACTTTTGTGTCATCTGCCTAACAGTGCACTTACAGCTCACCTCAGGTTCAGCCTTTACTTCTGGAAATGTTATTGCAACAGGATCCCCTTCCTCCTCTGCATCTGAGTCTGCCTTAGCTTTTACCTTCATGGCCTGATCTGCATCATGAGATGTTGGGTATGTCTCACCATATGGGCCCACTAAAACGTTCTCTGAATTTGTATAGTCCTATAAAAACCATGACATCTTTCTCAGAAATGGACGTACAACACCATACATTAAACCTGTATTGTACAGATGCTCTTCTCTACAGATATCAAGATCATTAGAAAGTATTTGGTAAATAGCTCAGTGACCTGCCTGAGAAACTTGCGGTCACTGAGGCAGTACAGAAAATATCTGCTTTTTATGTTATCTAAAAGCTGCTAAATGAGGAGCTTCATAACACGTAATCTTTGCCAAACATAATTAAAATGATAAGTCAAAACGCATGAGATGAGCAGCTCATATGGCAGGCATGGGGGAGAAGATGAATGCATATAGGATTCTGGTGAGAAAGCCTGAAAGACAGACACCACAAGGAAGACCTAGGCATAGGTGGGAGGATAATATTAAAATGGATCTTCAGAGACATAGGATGGGGTGGTGTAGACTGAACTGATATGCCTCAGGATATTGTACCGTGTTTCGTTACTGAAGACGCTGTAGAGATCGTTAATTGGTTTATTCAACAATCTACAAGAAACGGCTACAATTAATTATAACACAGTTGCGGGTTTCTACACTTTACAAACCCTACAACCAAAGTCTTCACGTACTAATAACGCGGGAGCTATACAAATCTCCCTGAATTACACACTCCAATTATAACTGTACTACAGCACTCACTAAGTCTCGAAAGCACACAATAAGTCTTCTGCTCGCGGACTTCTTAGTTATCGCACAATCGCAGGCTGCTACCTTGAGAACTGTTGATAACACACTGACTCTCCCTTGCTGGTCAGCCGGCTTTTATTCCGTTCGCTGTTGCTAGGGTCGCCCGCCACGTCACTACTGTGATGTGGCATATAGCCTAGCAATGCTGTTACACCTTGGTGACGTCACCGCAGTTGACTCGCGTTGCATAGCTACAAGGTTGCGGGGACTCGGCTAACAACAGCTCGGCTCGACTCACTTCGGCTCCGCTCAGCACGTCCCCGAGGGGAGAGTGGCGGAGTGATGACTCGCCTATTACGAGAGCGCTAGGTTACCGCCACGTGCCGCTGGGGAGGTAGAGGTCCTCTGTTGCGCAACACGTCACAATATGGACCAGTGATGAGTTCTTGCGAACATGGTGACGAACTTTCAGGTTCCATACAATGTTGGGAAATTCTTCAATGGCCAAGCGACTGGTGGCTTCTCAAGGACTCAGCTCCATGGAGTTAGTTATGGTACCTAAGGGATCATTACTGTGATCACGCATGTTCATTATGGCTCTGTATCCTAAGGCAAACAGAGTACAAACCCAAAATATTTCTTTAAATATCTACCTTAATAGCACCTTCCCTTCTGCTCTCAGGCCTCCCAAGTGGACTGCTCCTCTCAGGTTTCCTGTCCAAAACTTTGTAAGCATTTCTCACTCTTGCATATGTGCTACAGGACTTACCCATATCACCCTCCTACATAATATACCAAAGTGTTACAATGTCTACAATGAAGCATAAGAAGTTCTCAAGATGGATGATGAAAACAAACAGAAGCATGTCATATTTCGTTCCTTTGACCACGAGAACTGACATACGACAAGAAAATGTTTGTCTTTTCACACAAGCACAAAACACACAGAATGCTTTCTCTCACAGCAGGAAATGTTTTTTCAGCGCTGTGGAGTAAAATTCTTGGCAGTCTTGTTGCAAGAGAATGCAGAATCTTTCATAACCCTGAAACTTTTTTACCACATGACATTTTGTGTGGTTCACTGGAATTAGCTGACAAGAGTCCTTTGGTTCTAAGTGTATCAGCGCCTAACTGTGAACAGTTCCATAACTCCGTATGGATTTTTGCTACCAGACAATTTCTCTGAAACACTGTTCAGTTTACACAATAATTAATTTCATCTACATTACAACTGCTTAAAAGGAAACGGAAGTGGCACATCACAAGCAATATTCGACTAACTACAACTGTCCAGAGACACTTCAGAAACAGGTCTTCAAAGGCTAGCTGGCAGCACAGTGGAGTTTTTTCATGTCTACAGAAAAGACAAGACAGCCAGACAGATGGAGATGAGACAGACAACTGGCATTTCTACACATTTGTGATATGTGCCTAACAGTGGACATACAGAGACATACAGCTCACCTCAGGTTCAACCTTTATTTCCTGAATTGTTATTTGCAGAGGATCTGCTTCCTCTTGTGACTCAGAGACTTGCTCAACTTTTATATTCATGGCCTGGTTTGCATGACGACTTGCTGGGTACATCTCACCATATGGACCCACTAGAACATTCTCTGAATTGGTACAGTTCTGTAAAACCATCACACCTTTTATTAGTTATGGCTGTACAACACCATACATGAAACAATATATGCGCTCTTTGCTGTAGCTGTTTTTCATTACATCTACTCCATAACAGCTGCTCTGTACAGATTTCCTTTTTACAGACTTCAAAAACCTTGCAAAGTATTAAGTTAATAATGTAGGGACCATCAAAAGAAAATTGTGGTCCCTGTGGAAGTACAGAAGATATCTGCTCTTTATGGTACCTAAAAGCACATTACTGTGTTCACATATGCCCATCATGACTATGCATCCTGACATAAACAAACCAAGTCCAAACACCTCAAAATTATATCTTTAAAACCCATGTGCACAAATTTCTCCCAAGTGGTACATTCTTTCAGGTTTTCTTTCTAAATCTTTGTACACACTTCTCATTCTAACATGTGTGCTATACAACCTACCCATAGCGCTCTCCTTGAATTGAACCCTGTCCTACATAATATACCAAATTGTTATAATATGAAGAAGCATGTAAACTCCCTAGAGGGGTTATGGAAACTAAGCTTGGCATAAAATATGTAGTTTCTTGCACTATGAGAACTGACAGATGACAATAAAATTTTTGTCTGTGCACACAAGGACAAAACACTCACCATGATTTCTCTCACAGCACGATATATTTATTCAGCTCTTTGTAGCAGAATTCTTGGCATGCCTGTTGCAAGAGAATGCAGAACCTTTCACAACTTCGAAACTTTTTTTCTTATCACACACGATGTTTTGTTGGTTGCAAATTAATTGATTTACAAGAATACTAGTGATGTAGGACCATATTTCTATCAAGTGTACCAGCACCTAGCTGCAAATATTTGTTCAAGTCTGTAAGGAAACATGCTAATGATTGTGTACAAACAGATTTTGATGTGAATTTCTTTGGTCTCACAGCAGACTATGAAGCTTCGCGTTTTATTATGCATTGTGAAGTCTGGCAGATTGTTCCTCAAGTTTCAAAGTTAACTGGTTCACCCGTGTTGGGTACACCACTTGCTTCCAAATAACTGGAAGCAGCCTACAAGACTGAACGGAGTTACACTCCAAGAACACACTACAGATTTATACTTGCAGACACGTGGCGTAGTTTGTTGAGAAGCTATGCTTCTAGCGGGAAGGGCCCGGGTTCAAGGCCCACTGGTGTCATTCTATTTTTTTTTAATTGACCTAATCCTTCTTACCGCACTATGGCCCAGGGATCGACTCAGCCTGTAATAGAAATGAGTACCAGGAATTATTTAAATAATTTTCCTGGGGAGTAAAGAGCGGCCTGCGCATAAGGCTGACCTTACCGCCATCTTTCAGCCGATTGTCTAGATAATGTGGGACTCTCAATGCCTCACAACCCCATGGGCGACAGGCGACAAAGGGCTATGTAAACAGTAAAAATCTGCATAATGCTATAAACATGCTCAGAAAGGGCAATGAGGTATTTACAAAAATCACAAGTTGAACTTGCAACAGTGAAATAATAACACGAATCCTAACGGTGTTCGTTTCTAACCATCTGTCAAAAATATTCAGAAGTTGAATTTCTTTCGAATGATTGTAATGATTCCCGGAAGAGTGCACGAAACTTTCCCGCCTACAATCAAAACGGAATACAGAGTGACACTTTAATAAACAATAATGATCAATTGTGAGGATTGTGATCAATGAGCGTTTTCCATTGTTACCGACGCTCCAAGAGATTGTAGTACCATAGTCCACCGATAGAGTGTTGCACAGTATGATGTTGCGTGTTCTAAATTTCTAACCCTTGCCGGTCCTTGCACTGACGTGATGGACTTTGTTGGCCAGCCTGCCACCGTAAGGTGGAGAACGGAGAGGTGATCATTGTTGCCAACAGAATGCGAAAGGCTGATCGTTGTAGTACTTTGTAATTAAAGTGTACATAGCGTATTTACTGTAGAATTATTCCGGCTAATGTTCTGTAATTTAGAAAGTCTTGTAGATGAACTGAAATATTAGAAATGTTTAAAAAGTAAGGGAATTTCTATGTTAATAACCGTACATATTAACTTTACAGTGCAAGATCATACCTATAATCTATTTAATAAATTAATGTTCATTTGTATTAATTAGTATTTTCAACCGTCTTATAGTGGAATGTCTGAAGTTTTGTGATGATGGCAGTTGTTTCATTGCATCATTCNTCATTTGTTTTAGTGCATCATTCTGTTCCCTTATTTTTCACTGCTTACCTGTTTTGATCAGTACGTTTGAGAGATATTGATGCACTGCTACTTTTAGGCTGACTACAGTGTTGCGTTGTTGGTGTTTCGCTGTTAGAAATATGTTTTCCACACCATGGTGGAGGCTGTTCCTTCTTGGGCTTCGAGTGTAGTATTGCTCTTGGTGTTCAGCTGTTAGAAATATGTTTTCCACACCATAATGGACACCGGTGTACCATTTTTCATGGGCTGAGAGTAGTTCCTTTTGGCATCTGTTCACTGGAACTGTACCTGTTTTATGGTTGTGTGAAAATTAGCTGACAGTGGTGTCTATAGCTCTGAAGTGGGGTAATCTCCATTCTTGGTCCTCAGTGCTGTGCAGGCGTGTTGTCAATGTGATGTATGTTGCTGGTAAATGGAGGTAATCACTGCTCTTTTGTGCTGTGCAGATGTGTTGGAGTGTGATGTGTGAGTTGAGACTGTCTCAATTCAGTAGTCATGCACACCACACTACCAACACATCTGAGCAACACCTAAAAACAAGAACAGTTACAATGAAAGAGGAACAACAATGAGAAAGTAATGTGTCAGGAGACCATGAATAATAGTACATCATAGTGCTCATCAAGTTAATGGAAAACATATTCTGAGAGCTGAACACCAACAATAAATACTGCACTGTGAGCCTTCGAGCAGCACAGTGTCCATCAATTTACAGAAAACACATTTTTATCAATCTGACATTTTATACCTTTAATGTCTATAAACTATTAATTTTTTATTAGTGATTCACTTCACAAAACATGAATGCAATGTTCACCACACACATAATATATTTGTTAATGGAGTTATACAGACTGAAACGTGTCATGTAAACTGTGAGAAAGAAACAAGTGGAATGATGCAGCGAGACATCAGCCACACTGTAATCACAGAATTCCACAGGCCATATAAGATGGAAAACACCAAGTGATAATTAAATGCAACAGGATGCCAAAATACAAGATTCACGGATATAAGTTTGTTAATGTTCCACACCAGTAGTTAGAATGGATGTATATACTTGCCATTTTGTTTTCATGCCTTGTGACCAGCTTTCAGGGTTTAGTCACTTATTCTGAAGCTGTTCAAACGTTTTGGCTACTTTATTGTCACAAATGTGAGGGGGAATTAGGCAGACGGAGCAGGTGAACCAATAGAGAGGTCTTGCAATGAGCATAATGGTAGTGGTATAAAGCAGGTTCTATCCAATGGTAAGGGGTCAGGAGGGTGGAGAGAATAGAAATGGAGCCAGTTTTTATTCCATTTTTATCCATCTACACGGGTGAAGCTGAGGGGGTGTTTGACAATTTGGGTATGGAAATGGCAGTATGGATTTTTGCAAGGATTTCAGATTGTGAATTTTGATGCTGAATTTCACCTCACAGGAGTGTTTCACTACCATAAATATTGGTTTTCTAGACTGGAGTGTTTGATGTCTCATGTATTCTGATATTCTGCTGGATGTGTGATGCCCATTTGGACTGATGTACACCCTTCCACAGGTTGCAAGGGATATTGTTAGGTTTTTGGGTTGA